TGATTGTGACCAAGTGCCCTTTCTTTAATATGAAACCACTATCCAAACTACTCAAGTAAGTTTACCTTTGCCAAAATTTTAAGCACCTGCAAATTTGAGATTTGATTACTTTGAAATTATCTTTAGGACTAAATCTTCAAGTCATCTGTGTTCTAGACTTTGAATTGTAATTATAGCTTTTGTTTGAAACTGTAGTTTCCTGCAGCAGTTAAAAGATGAGTCAAAATTTAAAAATGGCTGGCATTCTAAAAGAGCATGCAGGTTGAAAATTTGTATTTAGGCAACTGAGATTAAAAAAAGAGTTCAGATTCAGAATGGGGGTCATTCTGTAAGACAGCTGATGTCTTTAAAAGTTCAGAGTTACGAAAAGGAGAGGGAGATTGTTTCAGATTAAAGGAGATTCAAGAGAATACATCTGTTAAAATGCATGATCTTTGGTTGGGTCCTAATTCAAGGGAAAATCAGTGATGTACATTTTGGGACAGTTTGAGAAATTTGAGTATGAACTGGTTATTTGAGCAATAATGTCATGCGTAGTTTCAGTAGCAGTGTTTTGGTGACGTAGAAGAATCTCATTGTTCGGGAGTCTATGCTCACATATTTAGGAGTAAACTTTCATGATGTCTAATTTATTTTAAATTGGTTTAGCAAATATGTATATAAAACGTGGCAAAATGTTAACTACTACTGAATCTAGGTGGTGGGTTTCTGGGTGTTCATGGCACTGTTTTTCTACTTTTCTGAATGTTTGAAAGTTTTTATGATTGTGTGAGTGATGATACTAATGATGTCATCTCAGAGACATATTGAGGGGGCTTGGGAGGTGGTCTTCCTCAGCCTGCCTTGTGGTTTGGGAGAATGCTTTGCTGGAGCCATGCAGATGGTGGGTGGAGCCCACTTTGAAGCGGTGCTCACCTGCCAGGCTGTCCGATGGCTCAGCAGGCCACATGTGGGCATGTTCCCAGGCTCCACCATGAATGTCTCATAATAGCCCTGGGAGAGGACTTTCTGCTGTTTCGCGCTGTACATACCACCAACTCCTGTTGGCAGCTGTGAGGAAGCTCAAGTCGCCTTGGCTATGGGTCCCCTGGAAAACAAGTGAAGCTGGATAGTTTTACAGTAAAAACTCAGTGCTGGATATTTGCTCTCAGTGTCTTGGGACTATGAACTGTAACAACTCAAATAAATGACCACTCCCTTAAAATGCATTACTCATTGGAGCACAGTACCACTTAAAACTAATCTCCTGCCTTTCTAAGCCAGGATGGAATTTGTTCAACTCATATTTGATTTTTTTTGTTGTAATTTTTGCCTTTCTATTCATGAAATCTCCAACTTTCTAGTAAAGCTGTTTTAAAGCAGTTTATTTTAAACAAATATGAGATAAAATAGTAGCAGAACTCTGCTTTGTCCTTCCTTTATTTCTCTCATAAACATTACTGACTCCCTGCACCCCACCTTTTTTTTCCTTAGAGACATAATATTTTTTGGTGAACAACCAGGTGAGGCAGAAGAAAGTTAATGTGGTAACAAGTCATCATTTTGGGCTTTACGAGGATTCAGTTTGTTTGCAGAAGGATAACTAGAACAGAGAATGCAAGAGGCCACACAGGGACTAGAGACTTTTTGGGCTGCTTGGAGACCAGAGGAGAAGATCGTCTCCTGCTGGTACTGGATGATCGCATGACATTCAGCAACTCAGAAATATAAGTTATTTCTAGAAACGCAGATACCTGAAGACTCCTAATGGAAAGGTGCTTCCATTACAAAGCAGACTTCCCTCTAACCCCAATCTCTTCATGTGTCTGAAGACAGTCTTCTCAGATTTAGGAGGATCACAATAGCCAGCAAGAAAACAGGCATACTTAAACGTGATTTGCAGGTGTCTCATAGTCTTGGAATACCATTGTCAGGTAGTTTTCAAATGAAAAGGTTATCACTTTATAGTTTCCATTTGCCTGTTTTCCCCCGATCTCCTACTGACTCAGGTTTTCTGCATTTAGAACACCAGTGTAGCAAGCTGGGAACTGGTGCCCCGAGTAGAGAAAACAAAGGGCCTTCTAGAATCTTTGCCAAATTGCTGTTTAGCTTCAGAGACTAGTGGAGCTTTGCTTTAGCCCTGGGTAAGTACAAAATCTCAGTGGCCTGTTGAACTCTGTGAAGTCAGTTTCATTAAGAGCAAGATAGGAATGCAGTCTTTATTACTGCCTATTATCTATGGATAAATGAAATACATCTCCCCAAGCATTTCAGTTCAGTATGTTTGAGCAGCAGTCATATTCTCTGTTTATATATCAAATTAAGTTTGCCATAAGAACTGACACAAGTACTTTTGTGTTTAATCTTCAAGTTTCTCTTTAAACAAAGTTTCAGTGGAATTTGGACTAAGCAGGTGCAAATCTTTTTTACATGTTAAACTTGCTATTTCTCTTGTGGGTGCCACTAGGCCAGGTTTTCCGTTGAAACTGCTAGTAACAAGATGCCAGTTTAGGAATGATTTCTTCTAACGTAATCCATTTTGGGGGTAAGGGATGTGGGGGCAAGGTTTCAATAAACTCAGTTCTAGTAACTTTAGTAATAAATCACCTGGAATCTGCCTTATACTGCTTTCTTTTTCAATAGCGAAAGGTGTCATATTGAGACTTTATTGTCTAACAGACCAAATAGGATTTAGTTACCACACAAGTGATATCTCTGTATACCAGGCTTCCTGAACTCAGAACTGTAGCTTTCATGGTCAGCTTCAGATTTAGCCTCTGTATTAGTCCATTTCTGTTGCTTATAACAAAATACACGGAACTGGGTATTTTATAAAGAAAACAAAATTTATTGCTTATGGTTTCTGAGGCTGGGAAGTCCAAAGTCCAGGGAACAAAGCTGGTGAAGGTCTTGGTGATGGTGATGGTGATGTCAGGGTATCACATAGCGAAAATGGTGGAACAGAGAGAACTAGTTCCTCATGCACTCTAATTTTAAAGCCCTCAGAACCACGCCCCTGACCACCGCTTTTAGTCCATTCTCTACGGCATTGTCCTACAATCTAATCACCTCCCCAAGGCCCCACCTTTCAATTACCATAACAGGATTTCCCACCCTCTTAACACTGTCACAGTGAGGGTCAAGTTTTGGGAGGACACGCAATCCAAGGCAGCCCATTTCTGATAACATTTTCTTGCTGGAGATTTTGTATAGGAAGGAGATTTTTGAAATTTTGAACTTAATCACCTAGAAATATAGACAGCAAAGGCAGAATGATATAGATATTGCACAGGTGTTTTTTGTTCCATCCTTTGAAAGACTCACGTTATAAATCATTACTTGAAAAATCACTTTTAAATTTTGCTGTGTGTGTGTGTGAGTCCCAAATTGTTAAGGAGTCCTCTCTCATAATCCCATACCCCAGCACAGGACAAATAAACAGATGTAGAAATGATTTCTACTCTCTCAGTGACTTAAGGAATGAAATATTTGTTTTAAAGCATTTACAGTAATACCAAAGGTGTGCATATTTTGCTTGACATTTTAAGCTGAAGTAAGCCACATGACTGAAATGCAATCCATCTTCAAGCGTGTTAGGAAAAAATATATTTCATCTTGGTAAATCGAGATTATCCTTTCACGGATGTCACTGTTATTTCACAATCCATGTGACTAAAGCAATTGTGCTGTGAGAGCCATTGCTTGGTGAGACAGAGCAAAAAGTGTGGTCACTGATGTCCTGGATCTTCCTACAGGGAAGTCGGAAAGATACTAGATGTAAAAGTGGAAATGTCTTTGTGTTCTTTGTCTAAGTTATTTCAGAGCAATCACAGTCATGGACTTAGAGAGTCTCATGGTCCTGGAGGCCACTTCTTGCAACTCTTGGCCCCTCCAATTTCATGGTTAAAATACTGTGTTGGAAGGTTAGCAATTTCCTGAGGTTGTCTTAGGGCCTGGGGACGTCTTAGGGCCTGGGGACATTCACCCCTCTCTAGTAGGCCTTTCACTTGGGTTTCTTTTACCAAATACTTGATTGTGTTAACTGGGAACGGTTTTACTTGACCTTTTCAGGAAAGTCATCAACAGGATAGTTTATACCTGGAGGGAAGCTGAAAGAGAGTGAAAAAGGGAGGGGGAGGAAGGAATTATGCTGGTACTTTTTGCAAATCATCTGGAATTCTGTTGTCACCCTATAAGATGAATGGTAATGTCTCCATTTATTCTGTCTTTCACTTATGTTATGTTTGTGAGATTTAATGCCTGTAGTTGTAGCTCATTCATTTTTAGCGGCAGTGTGGTATTTAACTGTATGACTACATCCCCATTTTTAATAAATTCTACTGTTAATGGATATTACATTGGTTCTAGCTTGAGACTGTTATGAAGAGTGCCATTATGAACACTCTGTGTTCACACTTAAGTTCAGCTTTAGATACTCAAGCATATGCTCAAAGTGGTATACCAGTTTGTACTCCTATTAGCAGTGTATTATGATTCCAGATGTTCTACTTTCTTGCCAACACTTAGTGCTCTGTCTTTTTCATTTAGGCCATTCTGGTGAGTTGGAGAAATTTGTTTTTGACTTATGTCATATTTCTCTTTATCTCATTCTACATAAAGATTTTGTTGTACTTGAATTAGAATAACTTATTTACAGGCAAAATATACCCATCCTAAAATAGGTATTAAATGATTCTTTTCATGAGCTAAGAAGTAATGAGCATTAGAAGGTAGCCAAGATCTATGCACCAGTTAAGACTGAATTAATCATGCCACTTGAAAGCCCTAGTTTTCAGGCATGATAGACCTCCTCATTATTCCCTTTACAAAGTGACTATGCCAAGTTATATGTCCAGGCTTCCTGGAAGAGCCAGGATAGTAATGTTCACCCTTTCTTCTCAAGTGAGGCACTCTATTGATTCTTTTATTCTTTATTTGCTATATAACTATTGAATGCATATTTTGTGGTAGGTGCTGGGCTAGGCCCCTGGGATTCAATAGCAAAGAAGCTTGTAATCCAGTGATGTCCTCTTTCACTTTACAGGTTACGGCTTTCAAATCACAGCCTACTTCCTCAAAAGAGGGATACGACTTCGCTGTATCAGGGGCACAGAGAATTCTGGTAAGAAGCTGATTTCTTTGGTGATCAGGCATTTCACATGATCAGCTTGCCTTAGAGAGGGGATGAAAATCAAGGAATGGAGATTCCTACTCGCTTTATGTAATTGTATTTCCAAACATTTGTGCTCCCCCCCCCCCCCCTTTTTTTGTACT